GGGCTGCGATCTGCGAAACTGTCGCCATTTTCGTGGGTTCCTGGGGGGTCCAACGGGGGGGTGTCCCACGGAGATCACTGCGCTTCGCCGTTCCTGGGGGGCTGCGATCTGCGGAGCAGTCGCCACTTCGGTGGGCTCCTGGGAGGTCCAGCGGAGGGGTGTCCCATGCAGATCACCACGAGACCTCGCCGTCCGTGGGGGGCTGCGATCTGCGGAGCACTCGCCACTTTCGCGGGATCCTGGGAGGTCCAGCGAAGGGATGTCCCACGGGGATCACCACGGGACCTCGCCGTCCCTGGGGGGCTGCGATCTGCGAAGCTTTCGCCACTTCCGCGGGCTCCTGGGAGGTCCAGCGGACTGGTGCCCCACGGGGATCGTCACGAGACCTCGCCGTGCCTGGGGGGCTGCGATGTGCGAAACTGTCACCACTTTCGTGGGCGCCTGGGGGGTCCAACGGAGGGGAATCCCACGGGGATCGCCGCGAGACCTCGCCGTCCCTGGGTGGCTGCGATCTGCGGAACAATCGCCACTTTCGTGGGATCCTGGGAGGTCCAGCGGAAGGGTGTCCCGAGGTCCAGCGGAGGGGTCCCACGCGGATCACCGCGAGACCCCGCCGTCCTTGGGAGGTTGCGATCTGCGGAGCAGTCGCCACTTTCGTGGGCTCCTGGGAGGTCCAGCAGAGGGGTGTCCCACGCAGATCAGCCCGAGACCTCGCCGTCCCTGGGGGGCTGCGGTCTGCGAAGCTGTCGCCACTGTCGTGGGCGACTGGGAGGTCCAGCGGGGGGACGTCCCGCAGGGATTACCATGAGACCTCGCCGTCCCTGGGTGGCTGCGGTCTGCAACACTGTCGCCACCAATCCCATGAGGCATGAGCGGCCAGGTACATAAACCCGGCGGCAGTCAGGCACGAGGCTGAACATATGAGGCGCAGGCAGGTGTGATCCCAGCCCTGCTTATAGTCGCCCCGCGGGCGCACGACCTCTCCCCGTCGCATATCGCATGGCGCTGTTAGATCGCACATCGCGGCGTGTGCGAGCGCCGCGCAGCGAACGATCCGGTGTACACTCGCCACATGCTTCAAAAGGGTTGGGTACGTCCCCGGCTTATTTTCCTTCCTGGGCCTACTGAGGAGCGAAAGAGCTCTTCTGGCCATGCCGAGCCTTGCCCACGAGCAGGCTCCCCGCCCGCCGGCCCAGAGCTGAGGCAAGGGGCCACAACCGACAGACCCTCCAGAGCCCAGCGTTCTAATTGGCGGCGAGCGAGGGAGGGGAAAACCGAGGAGGAGAAAGTCCCCATCCCGCTACACTTTGCTCGCTTTCCCCTTTCTGGGCCTCCTGGGAGGCCCTCATCGCCACCGCTGGATTCGCCTCGAAATCCTGGCCGCAACGCACCCCATGAGAGGTCAGCGGTATCAGTACCTTCTGGTCGCCCCAGGAAATGAGGAGGCCTTCTCAGGAGGCTCGGACGTCTCGAGGACTGCTGAGAAGTTTTCAAAGCCTTCCCCAGAGACACAGAAAAAACCTCCCCGAAGGCGCGAGGGCTTCTGAGAGGTCCCGCCGCCTTCTGAGAAGGCCTTCTCCTTCTCACTTCCCCCCCTCACTCGCTGCCGATCTTTGTGTTCAGCCCTGCTCCTGGAACGCGTCGACTTATAGTAATCAGACCTGACGGTGGGAGTACAGTGGACTCGTGCGATAATACAACTTGCTATGAATTACCTGAGACGTACCCAACCCCTTCTCCATGCGAGGCGAATATTTGCATGAACGCTCCATCCGCCACCGTGCCTGCACAGAGTGGGCGTGTTAGAATGCTCGTTTGTTGTCTGGGAGGTTCTGTGAAGTTTTCAAGGCCCCCCCCAGCCCACAGGCCCCCAGGAAACCCCAGGAGAGCCTCAGGAGGCCCCAAGAAGGAAGGCCTCCAAGAAGCCTCAGAAGGCCCAAGAGGAAGGCCCCAAGAAGGAAGGCCTCAAGGGTACGTGTGGTCCCCGACGCAGCTGACCTCCCAGGAGCTCACGAAAGTGGTGACTATTGCGCAGTTCGCAACCACTCAAGGAGCAACGAAGTCTCGTCTGGGTGCGCGTGACCCCTGACTCCGTTAGACCTCCCAAGAGCCCACGAAAGTGGTGACAGTTGCGCAGTTCGCATCCCCCACGAAGATGCAAAATCTCGGCTGGGTGCGCGTACTCGGCGACTCCGCTGCGCCTCCCAGGAGCCCACGAAAATGGCGAGAATTGCGCAGTTCACAGGCCCCCAAGGGGCTGCGAGGTCTCGGCTGGGTGCACGTACTCCGTGACTCCGCCGTGCCCCCCAGGAGCCAACGAACGTGGCGACAGATGCGTAGTTCGCCCCCCCCCCCCCCCCCTCCCTCCCCCAAGGAACTGCGAAACCTCGGCTGGGTGCGCGTACTCCGCGACTTCGCCGTTCCTCCCAGGAGCCACGACAATGGCGACAGTTTCGCAATTCGCAACCACTCAGGAGGCTGCGAAGTCTCGGCCAGGTGCGCGTGCTCCGCGACTCCGCCGTGCCTCCCGGGAGCCCAAGAAAGTGATGACCGTTGCGTAGTCCGCAGGCCCGCAGGGAACTGCGAAATCTGGACTGGGTGCGCGTGCTCCGCGACTTCGCCGTGTCTCCCAGGAGCTCGCCGCGAAATTGGCGACAGATACGCATGTCGCAACCACCCAGAAGATCTGCGAGGTCTTGGCTGGGTGCGCGTACTCCGCGACCCTGCCGTGCCTCCCAGAAAGTGGCGGCGGTTGCATAGCCCGCGGGCCCCCAAGGAGCTGCGAGGTCTCGACTGGGTGCGCGTGCTCCGCGGCTCCACCGTGCCTCCCTGGAGCACACGAATGTGGCGATGATTGTGCAGTTCACAGGCCCCAAAAGAGCTGCGAAGTCTCGGCTGGGTGCGCGTACTCCGCGATTCCGCCGTGCCTCCCAAGAGCCCGCGACACTGGCGACGGTTGCGCAAGTCGTACCACCCAGGGAGCAGTGCTGGAGAAAGCAGGAAGAGGGGGAGGAGAAGGAGAAGGAGAATGAGCAAGGGGTGTGCGACCGCAACGCTGTATTCGAAACGAGAACCCGACACAGAAGGGTCGGGAACAAATCCTGGGGAACACGACTCGTCGATCGTTGGGCTGGCCCCCCCGAGCTTCTGCGGGGGTCCCTGTCGGCGGTGGACAAACCTCCCTTTAGTAAACCTCCCCATAATGAAAACGACCTAGGGCCGAAATCGACGGACCTGGACCCGCAAATATGACGGCCGCGACGCCCTCTCGCGAACCGAGAACGGACACTTCGCTAATCGACGTGTCAGGGTAGGAGGTCTGTCCACCTCCGACCCTGGGGCCATCGGGGACACAGCGTGTCCGCGGGGCACCTGCCGGCACGCCCACTTGTGAGCACGACGTGTCTGCCGCGGAGGGATCACAACGCCGGTGCTGGGCCCGCCCGCCCCGGGCGCGAGGGGGAGCGCGCCGGGGGCGGCGCCGGAGTCGTGGCGGGAGGGGGGGGGAGGGCGGGGGGGCCAGCGCCGACCCAAGACACCCGTGCAGACATCAGGAAAGTGCAGTCAACTCAACCCGTATACAGTCGAGGCGTTGACCTAAGGAACCCTAAATAAGGAACGAGGCCACTATTTTCCATAAGTTGAACTTCGATTTCGTATCGAAAACCTAAGGAAAATCCAAGGCAAGCTGCGAAACAATTAAGGAACACGAAGCCCCTCCCCAACGAAAAGGGTTCCTTCTTCAGGGCCCCGACTGTAGTAAGGATGCGCGATGAGGAGGCAAGGGCCTGGGACGCCCATGTCGAAGCTTTCCGAGCGGGGCGCGACCAGCGGAAGCGACGAGGGATGGGCCGAGGAGGCAGGGATGCAGGGGTACCCTTGGGAAGGTTGCTCAGCCTTACTGTGCGGGTTGGCTGTAGTGTTCATGCGCTGTCTGCCACTCGACAATGGGAGGGAGGTGAGGATCAGAATGAGGAACAAAGGGGCGGGAAGGACGAGGAAGAGCAGGAGAGTGAGCAGGAAGTGGGTGAGCGGGAAGAGAGGGAGGAGGCGAAGAAAGAGGGGGCAAGCGGGGAGGATGCTGAGAAGGGGAGAGGACTGAAACGGAAGAGGATGGAGCGGATGATATTCGTGGTGGCGGTGCCAAGATGATGTCATGTCCCAGACATGCGACGTCCTCATTTTTTCAGTATGGCGTCCCCCGAAGTCCAGACCCTTTTCCCAAGGCCGGTTTTTCATCCTGAGTCGTTTTTTGACGGTCCGGGGGCCCGGGAAGGAGGGCCCCCAGAGGCCGAAAATTGCGAAAAACCTACCGCCGTGATTATTTCACAGCGCGAGGAGGTCTGGGTGGCAATGCTTTTTGTTCGCAGGCTCCTGCCTCTCAAGCCGCGCGCGCCCGACGCCGATACCGGGTCGCGGCGCGCACAGCCGAGCGGCGGCGCGCACAGGAGGGGTGGCGCGAGGGACGCGGCCTTCCGAGAAGGAGTGAGCTTTCCTCCTCCTCCTCCTCCTCCTCCTCCTCCTCCTCCTCCAATTCCTCCAACTCCTCCTCCTCCTCCTCCTCCTCCTCCTCGTCCTCCTCCTCCTTCTCCTCCTTCTCCTCCCCCTCCGCCTCCTCCTCCATCTCCACCTCCTCTTCCTCCTCCTCCTCCTCCTCCTCTTCCTCCTCCTCCGCCTCCTCCTCCTCCTCCCCCTCCCCTGAGAGGGCGAGGGGGGCTTCTCAGAAGCCTTTACAGCTTCCAAGAAGCCCTCCAGAAAGTCCCTGGGCCCCTCCAAGAGGGCCCCTGATAAGCCCCTTGCCTTTGTGGAAGAACGCCCCCCTGGCGCCCCACCATGATTTCCGACGTCGCGTTTTCATTCCTTCTCACATCGTGGCTCCCCAGAGGTCTGGACCCCTTCCAGGTGACCGCTTCTTCAGCCGTTTTCATCCGGGGCCTGGTAGCGGGGGAAGCCCACATCGAGGAAAAGCGCCCTGGTTGAACGAATCACATCGAGGCATCTAGATGTTTCCAAGACGCGAGGACGGATGTCTCGGTGTGAGTTCCTCCGTGGCGACCTGTGAGCGCCGCCGAGGCCAGGTCAGAGCTTGCTCCTGGCGCCGCCCGGCGCGGCGGGGCCCTCCTCGGCAGTGCCCCGAAGAGGGGGAGCCAGGAGGAGGATCGAGGAGGAGGAGGAGGAGGATCGAGGAGGAGGAGGGTCGAGGAGGAGGAGGAGGAGGAGGATCTAAGACGAGGACGAGATTCGAGGAGGATTAAGAAGAGGACGGGGGGGGGCAAGTAGCTCACTGTGGCCCCGAGGCATGGGCGCGGACGAAGGTGTGCCTCAGATCCGGGCACGGCAATTTTCGCTGCGTTTCGGGCCCCGGGATCATCACAGATCGATCCGGCTCGAAAAATGTTGCAGAACGATAGGGTCTTGATTCCTGGCGATGTTGCATTTTTTGCAACGTCGGATCTCAGGGGGACCAGGAAACGCACTTAAGAAGAGGGGGCCATGTGATCTTGGGGATGTCATGGTGACGGCCATGATATCCACACCCCGCCGATGGGGGCTGCCCAATCGAAGTAGATGGGATTGGGGGATCGCGCCTCATCGGCGATGCATCGGCGATGCGTCGGCGACGCTAGCGATGCATCGGCGACGTTGACATGGAGAAAGTCGGCCTCCGCATCGAGCCGCAACGCCGATACATCGGCGACGCGGCGCGATCCACCGACCCCATACACTCGGACCCCATCTGGGAGGCCTGGAACTGGTCCTCGCCCCCAGACTTCCGACGATGTTTTACCACCAAGCGCGGGACCCCAGGTCTAGACCACTTCCCCAGGACTGTTTTTTTTCATCTGGAGTTGTTATTTGCAGTCCCTGGGGCCCGGCGAGGGCCCCCCGAGGCCGAAAACGCGGAGGAGCCGTCCGTCGCGATGTTTCGAGGGGGAACGTCGAGGGGAGCCCGGCTCAGGGAGGAAACATCGACCCGGAATCTCCGATACGTCGCCGATCGAGCGGCCATGGGCCCCGACAGCGGAGCCGCACGCTCCCAAGTTCGGCGGGGTGGGCCAGCGCGCCCCTGACGACGACGAGTGCGCGGTGTGGGGTCGACGCAATCCCCCCAGAACCTCTCCCCCCCTGACGTTGCCCCTGACGGGAAATCCGACCTGCACGCAGGTCTGGACTCGCTTGAAAGCCCAGCGCTGCTTCCGAGGGCGGCGGAAGGGGGGGAGGGGGGAGGGGAATGTCATGCAAGTGAGCTTGCCTGAGCCTGGAACAAAGCCCAGAGATCCAATATCTTGACTCTGCAATCTCTGCAATCTCGACACGGGTCCTCTGCAAAGCTCAATACAGGGCCCTCTGCAATCTCGACACGCTCCCAACACGCCGGTTTTTGCATCCCGAGCAGTTCTTTCAAGGCCCGGGGGCCGGCCGAGGGCCCCCAAAGGCCGAACTTCGTCCAATCCCCCCCCGCTTTGATTTGTTCAAAACGTTGGATCATCTCTGGGTACGCCCTCAAGGCGTCAGCCCCCCCCCCCCCCTGACCCGCCGACGAGCGAGGCGGGGAACTGAGAAGGCCTAAGCCTGCCGATACGTCCACTGTGTCTTGGGGGAATGCTTAGAACCCTTCTCAGAAGGCCGGAGGACTTCCGAGCCTTCTGAGAAGGCTCGACCCTTCTCACTTCCCCCCCCCGCTCGCCGCCGACTCGATGCGTCGTCGGCCCCTCCCCCCCCCGCCCTTTTGCGGGGGAATCAAAAGATATTGATAGGACCTCTCCAGGGGTGCGCTCTGACCAGAATTTCGAGGCGAATCCAGCGGTGCCGACGAGGGCCTCCCAGCAGGCCCCCCAAAGGGGAAAACGGGCGAAGGGGAGCAGCATGGGTACCCTTTCCTCCTCTGATCGCCGCCTACTCTAGGCGTCAGCCCCCCCCCCTCTTTTGAGCATCGTTTAACCGATATCCCCATCCCCAGCGGCGTGGCCTGGGCCCCACTGACCGGTTTCCCCCCCTCGCTGGGGATGTAGGCCGTTCCCTTCGGGCTTCGAGGGGTGTCTCCCCAACTGGGGTGGTAACTTGGTGGGGGTCTCGACGGGGATGGGGCTGGGGCTGGGGATGGGTTCTAAACGAATGCTCCAGATCTCGTAATAAAAGGGAGGGGGTCTCAACCCTCCCAGACGAGAAGTTTTAGACCCCCCCCCGTGGGAGAACCCTCCAAAACATCGTCCCCAGACCCCCCCAGGCCCTCCAAGATAGCCTGGAAGAGACCCCCCCCGAAATGAGACCCCCCTCCCTTTATTACGAAATCTGGAGTAGGCGCCGGAGCCATCGCAGAGAGGCTGAGGACGGCGATGGCGAGGAGGCAGGCGGAGGAGGAGGAGGGGGAGGAGGGGGAGGGGGAGGGGGAGGGGGAGGGGGAGGAGGAGGAGGAGGAGGAGGAGGAGGAGGAGGAGGAGGAGGAGGAGGAGGAGGAGGAGGAGGAGGAGGAGGAGGAGGAGGAGGACCGATCTTGGGACGCCTCCGCTCCTCGACGGTCCCCCGCAGCACCCGCGCCGCCGCGCTCGCGCCGCCCCGCCCGGCGCCGTCCAGCGCGCGGAGGCCGGCGCCCTCGCACGGGGGCGCCCGGAGCCCGCCCTCGAGCGCGCCGGACACCTCCGGGAGGATCGGGGGCGAGGTTCGCGGATCGGGGAGGAGGGTCGGGGAGGGGGAAGGAGGATCGAGGAGGATCGGGGAGGGGGAGGGAGGATCGAGGAGGATCGGGGAGGATCGAGGACGGGGAAGGATCGGGGAGGAGGATCGGGGAGAAGGATCGAGGACGGGGAAGGAGGAGGACGAAGAGGAGGAGGAGGAGGAGGAGGAGGAGGAGGAGGAGGAGGCGGAGGAGGAGGAGGAGGAGACCAGTGTACACCCAAGAACCGTCAACGATGTTGGAATTAACCCTCCCTCCACGCTCCATCTCCATAGGCCACTACAACGGTTCACTTCAACTGAGGGAACTGCCTCGTCGGATGGCAACCGTTTGAAGACCCTGAAAAATGCCAAAACATTGTTCTCGGGATTCCAACGCCACGGATCAACCTGACTGTTGCGTCTTGACAATCCTGAGTCGTGCCAAGACGCCATCCCTGGGACTTCAACACCGCGAACCAACGTCTCCTTTGCATCCTCGAAATCCTGAATCTTTCCAAAAATCCATTTCTGGTACGCTGATCATGGGAATCAGTGAAACTCGTGCGAATTGTATAAACGAATAATCGCGGCGCTAAAACGATAACCACATGTTGAAAAGGAGCCGCCCTCAATCCATGAAACTGTTGCAATCTAAAAACGAATATACGCGGCGCTAAGGCGAGAACCACATCTTGAAAACCACCCTCGATCCGTAAAGCTCCTGCACATGTTTACAACGAATGTGCGCGGCGCTAAAACGAGAACCACATTATGAAAAAGAACCGCCCTCCATCCGTGAAACGCTTGCAATAATTTAAAACAACTGTGCGCGGCGCTAAAACGAGAACCACATTTTGAAAACCATCCGCTGTGAATCCGTGAAGTTCTCGCAAGTTTTGAAAACGAATGTGCGCGGCGCTAAGGCGCGAACCACATTTTGAAAACCACCCGCCCTCCGTCTGCGAAGCTGTTGCCAATCTGGCCCTGGGGTGCGACAGGGAGAAGCCATTTATGAGTTGATAAGGAAAGAATGGAGGAGGAGGGGGATGGGGGAGGGGAGGAGGAGGAGGAGGAGGAGGAGGAGGAGGAGGAGGAGGCGGAGGAGGCGGAGGAGGAGGAGGAGGGAGGAGGAGGAGGAGGAGGAGGAGGAGGAGGTAGAGGTGGAGGAGGAGAGGAGGAGGATCGAGGAGGAGGATCGAGGAGGAGGAGGACGAGGAGGAGGAGGACGGGGGGGGATCGTGGCCCCGAGGCATGGGCGCGGACGAGTCGGACCCCGAGATCCGGGCGCTGCAGGCGCTTCACGCGGGGCGTCTCCGCCCCGCTTCGGGCCCCCGGGGCCCTCGCAGCTCGACCCGGCTCGAAGAGTGCAGCAGGAACAAGGGCTCCCAACTTCGCGCTTCGCGCTGCGCGAAGCGCGAAGCGCGAATAACTTCGCGCTCTCGCGCCGCCCCCCCAAAGGGAGAAAAGGAGGACGAGGAGGAGGGGGAGGAGAAACGAGGACCGCGAAGCGCGAACCGCGAATAACTTCGCGCCCTCGTGGGAGCCCTTGAGGAACATGGCGTGCAGGGCTCTGGGCGTGAGTGTGTTGCTGCTGCTGCACTGCTTCGTGACGTCAGATCTCAGGGTGGGGCGCCAGGAGCACGTGGGTGATCATGTTGTAGCAAGCTTCCTTGCATGGGCCACGTGGCGTAGGCCGGTGTGCCTTCAGCACGGCGCCCCCCGGGGGGCCAGGGCCTCGGAGGTCCAGCTCGAAGGAGGCGTGGGGCTCTCTGCATTGTATTCGCTGCGTCTGTCTATCTAATCCCACCATTCCCTCTGGGCGAAGGTGGTCCAACGATGTCTTTCTTTCCTTTCCAAAACCTCTATCTTCCTCTCAGGGAGGGGTACCCTCCCCCTCCCCTCCCTGTTTTTTTGTTTGGGTGGGGGGGAGGGGTTTGGGGGCGATGTGTCAGAGGGTCTTTATTCATCCAGAATGGCTCCCACAGGGCCTCCGATGCTCCAAGATGGCCTCCAAGATGGCTCAAGACAGCCGAAGATGGCTCAAGATTGCTTCCAACATGCCTCCAAAAGGCCCCAAGAGGGCCACAAAGTGCTCTCGGAACCCTCCCGGAACCCCGCAAGAGGCCCAAATCTTTCAAACACCTACGGAAAATACATGATTGTTGCGTTCTCGCTTTTAGGCTTGCGATGCGTAATTCAGGCCTCTAGATGGCACCAAGATGGCCCAAGAGATGCCAACATCAGCCTTTGCTTTCAGTGTCTGGTTTCTGTGGCTGTGACCGTTGAGCTTGCTGCCCTGCTGCAAGCAGAACTCTGGCAGGCCTGCTTGCGTGGACCCTGCGCACTGCGGGGTCTCCAGAAATCCCGACCCCTCCCAAGGGTTATGTTGTTCCCATCCTACTTAAGGACCGCATCCCAGAAATAATTTCGAGCACACAGAAAAATATCAAAAGAGTATCGAAACAGTGTCGAAACAGTGCCAGGCGAGTGTCTCCCAGGGCCCGACACGTGAAAACCCTTGAGTTTCTGTAGTTTCGGTACTTTTTTGGCGCTCGACATTTTTTCTGGTGGTCAAGGCTAAAGTAGGTTGGAGCATCATAAACCCAAGTGGCCGGCCTTGCGCCCCTGAACACTTGTTTCAAAGCCCAGGGGCCCGCCGAGGGCCTCTGGACGCCGAAGAGGGCGAAAGGCCAACGCCTTGAGCTTTTCAATGCGGGGGAGCTCTGGGGATGTGGTTAAGTCGGGCCTGCGCCTCTACAAGAGGAATATGCAAAAATGGTGAACAAATAGTCTGGGGACTATCTTTTAAAACCATTTTTGAATGGTTTTAATGTATTTTTCATCAAAAATCCGCCTATGTCGGCGGTGGACAAACCTCCCTTTAGTAAACCTCCCTTTAGTGAAAACGGCCTAGGACCGAAACCGACGTACCTGGACCCGCAAAAATGACGGCCGCGGCGCCCTCTCGCGAACCGAAAACGGCCAGTTCACTAGTCGACGTGTCAGGGTAGGAGGTCTATCAACCTCCGACTGTAGGGGGACAGGCCCGACCTGAGGGGGACGATTTTTGGACAATTTTTGAATATTTTTGGTGTATTTGTTACTCTTCGTCCAAAATCAGCCTGTAGGGGGACAGTCCCGACCTAAGGATGGTAGGCAAGCGCGTTCCACTACTCACAAACTCTCTACTCGCAAATGGCCTGAAGGATTTGCGATAAATCACATCGAGGCGAACGGTTATTTTTCGGACGTTTGCGAGTAGGCACTTTGCGAGTAGTGGAACTTGGGGAAGGAAGAATGACATAAGCATACAAACTCGGAGGTCCGCGCGGATTCCTCGGATCCGCGCTGGACCCCCCTCCCTGGCGCGCGGAGCGCGCCAGGGGCGGCGCCGGAGGCGCCGCTGACCCCCCTGGCGGCGCCTCCGGCGCCGCCCCTGGCGCGCTCCGCGCGCCAGGGAGGGGGGTCCAGCGCGGATCCGAGGAATCCGCGCGGACCTCCGAGTTTGTATGCTTATGTCATTCTTCCTTCCCCAAGTTCCACTACTCGCAAAGTGCCTACTCGCAAACGTCCGAAAAATAACCGTTCGCCTCGTCCCCCAGTTCCACGACTCGCAAAGCGCCCAATTACTCGCAAACGTCCGAACAAAAACAACCGTTCGGTGCGATGGGGGCGGGGGGCTCCACGGCGAGCCCGCCAGGGAACGCTGGGCGTCGGCCGCGCCGGCGCGCGAGGCCCCCGCGCGCGCGCGAGCGCGCGGGGAGGGGGGGGGCAGCGGCCGAGGCCCCCGAGCCTTGCGCCCCCGCTGGCCCAGCACGCGTCCCGCTCCCCCCTCCGGCGCTTGCGTCGGGCGTGTCTCCCTACAGGGGGATTTTTCGACGATTTTTTTTTTTTTAAGTCAAAGCGTTAACCAAAATTGAAAAATGCTCCAAAAATCGTCCCCAGACTAATTCCCTACCTAGACTCTGCCTAGAAGGGTTCTTACTCTCTGGGCTTAAAGGGGCCGGGCAGTGGAAAGCGCCCCGGGCGGTTCCCCCACTATCCACCCCGCGGTTCCCCCAGTTACGTCCCCTTAGCTTAGCGTCGCTCATCTCATCTCAGCTTAGTTTATTTCATCTTAGCTTAGCTTCGCTTCATCTTAGCTCAGGTTTATCTTAGCTTAGCTTACCTTCATCTCAGCTTCGCTGAGCTTTAGCATAGCAGAGCACATCATGACATATCATAGCGTAGCATAGCATAATTAGCGCAGCACAGCATATCATAGCATCGCCCAGCATAGCATAGCATAGCGCAGCATTTCATAGCATAGCATAGCGCAGCACAGCACATCGCAGCATGACATAGCATAGCATAGCATATCATATATTAGCATATCATCGCATAGCATAGCATAGCGCAGCATAGCATAGCATAGCATAGCGCAGCATAGCGTAGCACATCATAGCATAGCGCAGCTTAGCATTGCATGTCATATCATACCATAGCTCAGCATAGCACAGCGCAGCATGACATAGCATAGCATAGCTTAGCACGTAGCATAACATAGCATATCATATCATAGCGCAGCATAGCATAGCATAGCATAGCATATAATAGCATAACATAGCATAGCATATCATATCATAGCATAACATAGCATAGCGCAGCATAGCATGGCATAGCAACTAATGCTGCTTTCCTAGGGGCTCCAACTTCTAGGTAGGGTCGCACTGTGGTAATTTTTGACTATTTTTGAATATTCCTCCTGTATAGGCACATGCCCGACTCAAGCCCAGCATGCGTCCCGCTCCCCCCTCCTGCCCTCGCGCCCTCTCCTCGGGGATCTTCTGACCCGGGCCAGTCCAGACCCGGGTCAGTCAGGCCTTGCAGAGTCTTGCAGGATCCGGCTAGATCCTGCCCCCAAGCCCGGGTCACTGCGAAGGATCCCGCAGGATCCTGCAGGAAGGATCCTGCGCCCGAACCCGGGTCGGTGCGACCCTGGCCCTGCAGGATCCTGCAAGATCCGGCGCTCTGGCTGAACCCCCGTTTGCATTGAGCCCCGTCTCTCGGCTCCCGACCGCCGTGGGGCCTCCTCTCTCCGGGGGTCGACCTGAGCAACGCTTTCCGTTCTCCCCGCTCCGCCCAGGATCGGGGGCGGCCAGGACGGGGGCGTCCAAGAGGGGGGGGGCGCCAATCATGGCCGGCGGCACGTGCGCGGCCCAGGGGCGCCATGGAATCTAGGAAAATATCATGGCCGCCGCCATGATATGCCCCCGCCCGTAGTCATCACCCCCCTCTTTGCCGCCTCCTGCCCTCGCGCCCTCTCTATGGGGGCCTCGTCTTTCCGGGGGTCGACCTGAACAACGTTTTCCGTTCTCGTGTTCTCTCGTTCTGCCTCCGTTCCGCATATGGTGAAGAGGCCCAGGGGCACACAAGTGAATGCACGCAAATAAAAGGATCCCACATGTTTTCCCATATTTGCCGGGTTTTTGTCTTCCCCCCCTCTTCCCATATTTTCCCATATTTTCTGAGGGATCGACGATTAATTGTGTCTGTGTGTTATTTTCCCTCCTGACCATGATGCAAAGCAAAAGCAACACGGAAACAGTCCACGAACTCGCCCACTCACCGCTCAGCTCGAGCCCCGCTTCCCTGCGCCCTCCCACCCAAGACCCTTCGCGCCGCGGAGACATAACAACGCAACGGGAGGTCTCTGGCCGCCTTCGGCCCCCAGGCGCCCTCGATGGGCCCCCAGAGCCGCCGGAAAACGACTTGGGGTGAAGCACGGGCCCCCGGGAGGGGGTCCAGACCAGGGAGCCACGTTAGAGCAGACCGCTGAGTCGGATGTCTGGGACTCCTTGCCTACACCGATGCTGGCCAGGCCGATCCTGGGCCCAGGATCGGCTGTGCACAGTCGAGGCGTTGACCTAAGGAACCATACATAAGAAACGAGGCCTCGTTTATCCGGAAGTTACACCTCGATCTCCGATCGAAAACCTCAGGAAGACCTGAGGCAAACTGCAAAACAATCAAGGAACACCGAGCCCCTCCCCAACGAAACAGGTTCCTTCCTCAGCGCCCCGACTGTGTACATTCCGGGCCAAGGTTGGAGGGCGCAGGTACCGATCCAGTGCCCAGGATGGGCCTGGCCAGGATCGGCTACACGCAAGAGTGACCCCAGGTAAGAGTGACCTTTGCCGCGCGGACTGAGAGGGCGCAAGGTGACCAAATCCAAGCGCGCAAGCAGCCAGTATCGCATCGCGCTCAGCGATCGGGGGGACCCCGGTGAGCCCGCACCAAAGGTCACTCCGGCGAAAGGTCACTCTTACGTGTAGTCGACAGGATCGCTGCAGGCGTACGGGCGGCGCCCGGCTACCTCGGCGGCGACGCCGCGGAACGCCTCCGCGCGGCGCCGAGGGTTCCGCACCAGCCTCCCGGGCAAGGCGCCCGTGGCCGCGCCACGGACAAAGGTGGCCTGCCCGGCAACAAGCGTCGTGACGTAGCCCTCGACCTTCTGCATCCACCGCTGCTGATGGAGGGGCGGAAGACGATGACCATGACCCGGGACTGAACGCGGAAACGTCAGTGCCGTCTTGGTCACCGTCCATCTTAGTCATCGTCAACTCGTGGATCGTCCTCGCGAATCGGCGACGGTCGGCACGGACCATGACCAAGATCGGCGCCGACAAGATTCCGGGACATCTTGGTCGTGGTCCTCGTCTTACTTCCCTCGGGCTGACCCTGCGGCAGGTCGCGAACCAAGTAAGGCTCGCACACCCTCAACCGCTCCAGGTCGATCACGTTGATGTCGGCCCTCTTCCCGGCCGCGAGCAGGCCGCGGTCTTCGAGGCCAAAGACGTGGGCGACGTCGCTCGTGTTCAGCCTCACGGCGTGCTCTATCGCCAGCTTGGGGCCCCGGTGGCGATCGCGGACCCAATGCGTCAGGAAGCCGGAGGCCCCGCAGGCGTCCTGGAGGCGAGCGGCATTGCATCCCTGCCCCCACGAGGAGCCAGAGCAGGGACATGAACAACTTTGAAGGGGCCCTGGGACACCAAACAACAGGATCCCCCATTTGTTCCTCCTATTTTCTAGGTTTTGTCTTCCCCCCCACTTCCCATACTTTCCCATATCTCCTGGGGAATCTCGACGATTCATTGTGTCTGCGCGTCTTTTTTCCTCCTGGAACTTCCTGGGCCATGTCTCCTGTGCCTGCCCTGCGTTCCCCGGCGCCCAGTGGAGGGGCAGCAAGCGGGGCATATGGATCGAGCGTCGGTCGTCGAAAATACAAACAAATAAGAGGATTCCCCAGATTTTCCTATATTTTCTGAGTTGTTGTCTTCCCCCACACTTCCCATATTTTCCCATATTTTCCTCGGAGTCGACGATTAATTGTGTCTGTGTGTTTTTTTCCCTCCTGAATCCTGGAAGACCGTCTCGTGTGCCCCGCCGTCGCCGAAGCCAGGAATCACGTGCCGGTGCTGGAACAGCCTGCGCAAGGCCTCGTTGTCGCCCGAGTCGTACCCCGCGAAGGGCTTCCACAGGACCCCGCCTTTGAGCATGACGTCGTAGGCGGCCTCGAGAGGCCGCATGCCCCCCTGAAGTGCTAGGGACTTGATGTCGTCCCTCCCAGTCTCCGGCTCGTATCCCGGCGTCCACCGGTATATGCGGTGGAACGGCCGGAACCTGGGGGGGGGGTCCGATGCAGTAATCGAGCGCTATCATAAGGAACCCCAGATCAGGAGCAAGACAACTTTTCTGGCCACGGCGAGCCTCGGCCACGAAGAGGTTCACTGACGCAGGTCCGAGGAGCAGCCCGAAAACTGGAGCCCCCCCCCTGAACCCAAAACATAAGCCTTATTTCGACGTCTTGACTGTAAATTTACCAGCCTGGAACATATCCCTATCCCTATGCTGGGCACCTCCTCATCACGATGCCAATCTTAGGGATTCCCTCATTTTTTGAAGGCGAATCCCTAAGATTGTCGTCGCCTTTTGGCGTGTCAATCTTAGGGATAGGGATACGCTCGAGGCTGGTAATAAATGGCAAGGCCGGTCAGCAGCGAACTGGGAGATCGAATCGAATCGGAATGCGCGTCGGATCGGGACGCATCGGCACGGAGTCGGAATCGAGTCGAATCGGCCGCGCCAGGATGCACAGCAGAGCCACGCAAACCTCGTGCCGCATCGGGTCGTCGGACGATCGAACTCGAGTCGGATCGGGCCAGCCAAAATCGATATCGAATGGGAGCGATCGGATCTCGAGATGGGCCCTGTGAAGGGGCCGGGCCAGAGAAGGTCGTCTGCCCCTTGCCAGCCTATAGCGAAGAAGCGCGCGCTGCTGGGGCGGGGCCTCCCGAAGCCGTGCCCAGGAGGGCGTCGGGCTCGCGAGAATCGCGCGGAAGGCTGATCTTTCGAGGCCCCCCCAGGGTGGGTGGTGACCACACCGCGTGGCGAGCCCATGGGGAGTCGAGGGCGCCGTGCGGCTTTGGGGACTTGGGCCGCTCTCCGAGGGCGTCTCGGGCGACTGGGGCCTCCGGAGTCCCAGCGACGGACACCGCGGTGAGGTCTCCGTGCCGTCCGTCACCGCAGGGCTCTGGGGCTGCCTGCGTGTCTGCCGGGGGCGCCGAGTCTGGAGGCCTCCCAAGTGCCAGAACCACGCGCACGCGTCGCGCGCGCAGCAGGATTCGAGCAAGCGGCGGCAACTGCTCACGCTTTGGATGCTGGCCTGCAGGGGAAGGGCGGGGAGGGCAGGAGCAGGACGATCCGAGAAGAGACAGCGGAGGAACGCAACAACAGTGAAGGGGGAAACATCTCTGCCCTTCACGAGAGCTATGCATAATATCATGAGCGAGACGTAGACCATGACTGCTGCCAAGCCTTCGACCAATGAATCGCTATACTGGATGATTCGTCCTGGGCCTCTACAATCATTCCATATGAATGCAACTCTCCTCGCTCTCTGTCTGGATCCTGTTCGACCATGGCCCGTTCTCGCCCGCATATTATGATTCACCGTGTAGCTTTACAAACGGTGGTCGTCAACATGCTCCTTGAATACAGTAAACGGTCCTCCCGCTTCAACGTTGGCTTCATTTTAGGGTCGATGCTTCGCTCCCGTCGTTCAAATTGGCGCTCTCGCCCAAACGCGGGCCACACTTCTGGATCTGAGTCCTTCATCGTCATTTTCGCCACGCTCCTTTCCCCTCCTCCGCCTTCCACTGACCCTCCTGCTCCTCCAGCTACTCCTACTCCGATTCTTCCTCGTCCTCTTCGTACCGTTCCTCCTGCTCATCCCCTTGCTCATTCGCCACCTCCTCCTCCTCCTCCTCCTCCTCCGCTCATGTGCGCAACTCTCATGTCTCACCGCGCATAACACGATGGGGTCCTAGTGAGAGTTCCAGGTCCGCTATACACCCGTCGGAAGGAAAGGGTAGGCGCAGGCGCAATATAGCTTGCCTTCTCCTCCTCTCTCTTCTCCGTCCTTTCCCCCCGTCCTCCGTGGTCCTCCTGTCTCCTGCGTGCTTCCTCCGCCCCGCAGTCAGCCACGTACTTCGCCCCACATCCACTCCATCCTACATTGTCCTCTCCCTTCCATCCTCCATTCTCCCGCCTCCAATATCCATCATGTCCTCCATCCCGTCACACCTCCACCCTCCTCCGATCCTCCATGCCCTATTATCCTTCCCATCCTCGTGCATCCCCCCCTGCTGCCCTCCCTTCTGCCTTCCATCTCCTCCCTGCTGCCTGCGATCTCAGAGCTTTTCCGTGAGGCTCATGAAGCGCTCCTTGAGCTGTCCTGGGGCGCCCCGTACCTCGTTCGACATCTTTTTGAGGCTGTCTTGGGCGTCTTTGGTGTGTTGGGAGGTCGCCTCGATGGTTTTCAAGCTGCCTGAAAATGTCCTGGGGCCGTTTTGGAACCGTTCTGGGGCGGTTTGGGGGACCACCTGACACTCTGTGTTGGCCGTCTTAGAACCTGTTTGGGCTGTGTACTGGGCCTTTTGGGGCTCTTTTGG